CTTGTGGAACTCGTCCTCTTGCAGTGGTCAACACAAATCAGGTGTCACTTGATTCTCCCCACGACGCTGGATGATGAACGCACCCAACTCCAGACCATTTTGTGTCGACTCGGCCAACACCCCAACTACAGCGGTTTCTGGTCAAAATATCCACAACACTTCCAGGTCAATACCCTGACTCAAAAGCAGCCGTTCCGGTGAAGTCACACTATTTATTGCCCAGTCTACGACCCAATACTGTACAATAGTCCGATCATCAGGTGAATAGAACTGTAGGGTTAAAAGTCAATCAAATACACCCCGCTGAACAGTGAGCTACAACCCCCAACTTTTCTATTGACCACGCACATCGCAGCCAAGTAGATACGTACCCCTTCATTCCCCCATGTTGAGCCAATGCCCCCTCGCTGCTGACGCCTTCAGTCGTCCACCCCACGACGCTGCCTCAGGAGACCTATCCCACGGTCCCCATGAGACTCAGGAGGCTGGACATTTACCGTGCCCGCAGTTGCCCACACCGCCGAACGATGTACCGCCGACCGCTATGCCACCCGTCGACGCCAACGTGGTAGACCGCTCGCCCACTGGTGGCGCTTGGCCTCCGCTTGCTCCGCTCCGCCCTAGGGCCTCGGACAGCGTGCCTCCATGTCCACCTGGGCTGGTGGCTCCGTTGAGCTCCGAGCCGCTGACGCCGTCGCTGCTGACTTCGGTCTCGCGGCAAGTACCAATCGACAATGATGTCGTCGAAAAACCCAGAACGAACACTGATCTGGAGTTTCCACCAATCAGTGATCGTGACATGGTAAATTCGGAGTTAAACCGTCCAATGGCGACGTTTGACGCGGATTCGTCACGCCCAATCAGCAATCAAAACGTGGGGGGAATTTCCCCATTGGCTGATGGAACCGACGTTGCGTCACCGCCTGCACCTTCTCGGTCTGCGGACACAAGTGGACCCACGCGCCCTCCCCTTGACTACAACAAGGTGATCCGTGGTTTTACCGCTGCGTCGAATCGGCACACTAAGGCAACTTTTGTCCCGCCATCTGCCGACGCCATCGAAGCGATCCTGTTGGAGCTCGCCAAGCCCAAAAAGTATCGCGTCGATGTGCTCGACCAAATTAGCCTTGCTCGGCCATACTCGCCTAAAGTGGCTACGGCTCGCTTCACCGTAGACGCGGGTGATGCACTAGCTGCGCAGTCGCACGAAGCGATCATGTCGTCGCTGTTTACAAGCACGCAAACCGAGGCCGTCAAGGCGTTCCTGCCTGAATCCGTCCAAATCACACGGCTTGGGCGTGGCGGCATTTTGTTTTCTGTAACGTCGTCGAGTGTGCGAAAGGCGCTTCGAGGACAATACCTGTCCACCCTGGGAATGCGCTACCTCATCCCAGTGCAGGAGGAACACCCCCTAGACTCTCTGTGCTACATGTATGTCACAGGCATCCGTGACAACTTTGATGCCACGCAATTCTACCGCAAGCTGACCCAGCTTGGCGTGGATGTCGCATATCAAAGCCATCGCGCGGTCATTCCTGAAACGGGCTACCATACGAACGCGTGGCGAGTTTACTTCTCGGATGGGTCAATCCCGAAGGAACTCATGATCCACGGCGTGCCCATCAACCAAATCAAATATCAAAAATTCCATCACCGGGTCTTTATTAAAGGCACAAAAGGGACGCCTTTCCACGGTGCAAACGGTGTATCTCTACACTGCTTAGATCTCGAAGTTAAACGTACCCGAGACACCTCGACGGAACAGCACCCCGACATCGATACGGCGACTCAACCAGCACCCCTTTGTCGAGTTGACCTAGTATCAAGTGCGTCGAAAAAGCCTAAAAACGACACGACCGTAAGTCAATCGAACTCGAGTCGTGCGGCAGCGGAGAGGACACACCCGGACGTTGCCCACAGATCTAGTGTCTTTGCTTCGTCGCTTCCGCGCTCCATCGCGGGCACGGAGGCGACGAATATGTCCACGGCCTCATGAGCGCATTGATGTCTACGAGGACGACGGTGAGATCGGCGAGATGGATATCGACGACTCCAAGGACACACGTTTATTCATGGAGGTTGACCAACCGTACCAGGTGGTCCAAGTCGTGGCAAACTCAAGGAGCGGATGCGCGCGGCGCCGAAAATCCTGGAGGACTTCGTGACACTGAACTTTTTTTACGTCCTCCGACGCAACAATGGAGGTTTTCGGGTCGTGCAGAGGAAGGAAAATTAGGATACCGTCACAATTATCCCCACCTTTCAACGTCAAGTCTTTGTCAGAGGCGGACCATAAGGAGTGCATCACGACGTACCAACAAGTCGGAAATGCACTATCCTTTGACTTCGAGACAATGTCAATTGAGCGCCTACGAAATCCTTGAGACGTCCATTCAACAGCTGCACCACGAAGAGCTCGAGGATATAGATCGCACCTTTAGAGACACAGCAGCGGACACCCTCAACGATCTCACGGGGTATATTTCCAAGGGTCAGGGAGACAAAGTCTGGACCCAGCAACAAATGAAACACCTCTCAGCAAACGTCGCACTGCATGCCATGGCGACAGAGGGCCCAACAACGTTTGATCGCTGATCCACCTGCTCACATGGCAGCGCTGGTTTGCCGCATCTACGGAGAAAACAGCGCAGTCGTTCGCAGACACGCACAAACAAATCTTCGGCAAAACGAAGCTCAGCATGACCCAACTGCTGAGCCGACGCGATGGTATGAAAATACGTACGGTGGATAACACCGAGGAACCAATTTTGTAGCATCAGCTCCGCACGGAGGATTCATTGTCCCTATTCGAGGTGTGGTTGAGCATTGTTGCTCTTTGCTTTTTCCAGAGTGACGCGTGGGTATTGTGCCTGACTGACAGACCAGTCATTTGGATGCGGGCTGGTGCTAGCCGCCAGCTAACACCGAATACCTTCCTCACCATCCTACAAACGCCAGTAGTGATAAATCCACAGGGAGCGATTGTTTTCGGTTTAAAGCATCAACTGCGTAGTTGTTAGCAAATAACTATCTCATCTCACCACTTTCATGAAGTGTAAGAGATCTGTGCCAACCAGGATGAGCAGTGGCTTCTTTTTGCCGCCAAGCTGTTTCCGAAGGCACCGCATAAATAAATATGCACCTTAATTCTTTTCAAACTTCAATTGAAGTATTCGTAGTTCGTTTTAGCTCCTTTTGCGATTACAACATCAATTCATCGGTCTTGCATCAGCTTTTTTCCCTAATCCAACCATAGCATACATACGTTATGTCCTGAACGAGGTCACCAATCTCGATAAATTGACGTCGATTCACATGTATCGAACGAAGCAAGACACCTCAAAAGTATTCAATACGATTTAACAACAGTAGATCGTATTGAAAACTTTTGATGTGTCTTGAGATGACCTTCCGTTTCTCGTATTTCATTAGATCGCTTTGCTGAAACCTCATTGAAATGTCGGTATCGAGGTGCCCACGTAGAGGGTGATATTGACTTTACTAAAAATATTTTTTCATATTTTTAATTTACATAATTTTTAAATATGAATACAATTTTTAAATATAAAAAATCAAATAGTTTTATTTGATGCAGCAGGTCCTTGGCAAATGGGTTTTCAAGATCCAGCTACACCAGTCATTGTTGCCGCATGTATTAAAGCGGATACAGGTGTTGGGCCCTCCATTGTTAATTATCCCGTATATTGCCACATACGTGAGTTCGATCCTCCAATTAGTTTTACCTTTAAAAAAAGTTTATAATAAATTTACGGAAGGTGGGGATTACAGTCCGCGAAATTGTTGTGAAATAATACGCAGTGTCCGCTTGCCAGCCCTTGTGGTACTTGGCATTGTCCATGGTAATGCAAGCATTGGTGACTCCAAGAGCATCCAATTCGTCGATAAGGTGACCAAACCACTTCGCATAATTATATGCGCACATTCAAATCTTCAGTATATCGCGATTAATGTCGGATAAAAAATACACAAAGTCTTCGGAGATTGTTTCCCATGAAGGGTATACCTCCAACTCAAATTGCTGCAGTACCATACATACGTTGAGCTTGAATTTGCCAACATATAGGAGT